TTCAATTCAATTCAATTCAATTCAATTCAATTCAATTCTCTAAGCGGTTTACAGAGTCAGCATATCGCCCCCAACAACAATCCGGGTCCTCATTTTACCCACCTCGGAAGGATGGAAGGCTGAGTCAACCCTGAGCCTGGTGGGATTTGAACAGCCGAACTGCTGAACTGCAGTCAGCTGAAGTAGCCTGCAGTGCTGCATTTAACCACTGCGCCACCTCGGCTCTTAACAATTAATCAGTGAAACAACTGGCCTCCAGAAGTCGCGAAGGCTCCAACCCTGGAGGTTTTCAAGAAGATTGGACAATTGTTTGTGTGAAACGGCGTAGGGTTTCCTGCCTGAGCAGGGGGTTGGACTAGAAGACCTCCAAGGTCCCTTCCCACTCTGTGGTTGTATATTTCAAACCTGGGCTGAAACAAACCTAATGGCAAGCAACAGAGGGCAGCGATGAGGATTCCGAAACCAGCAGCGCTCCCTTTGAAGTAATTTATGACGGTCATCTGTTTGCAGGAAGGGAGTCCCTGCAGGTCCATCTGTCTGGGCTGAGGGCATGGATCACCTGGGGGGGTGGAGAATGCAATTATTAATTTAGTAATTTAATAAATTTATATGCCTGATTGAAGTCCCACCCCTTTCACACCTGCCTGCAATGCACATTAAAGAGAAGTGGGGAGTTCAAGTGGTTGAGCCTGCCATTTTGAAGCCAGGGACTGTTTTGGATAGAATATAACGTGACTTTTGTGTAGCATCTGGGGTTAACAAGCCTCGTGTCCCGCCTTGCAAGTTTGACATGTAAACATTTTTATAACATTCCTCTGGTCTTGGTTCAAGAACCAAGTTTTATGAGTTCTGGTGTTGAACAGGGCTGTTATTACAGGGTGGAGAAATGTCCAGACTTACATCATCTCATCCTCGTGTGTCCAATGCTTGTTTATCCGGCTCACCTTATCCGCTTAGTGCAGAGAGGGGAATTAAAAGCAATAAATCCATCTACCTACGCCCCAGTGGCCATCGTAGCATTTGGATGGAGTCAATTGGGCCAATTTTTATTTTTCCCCGGAGGGAGAGAGAAACCAAACCGAGCCGTTTTTACGAGAGGCGGGTCCCTCTTCAAACTGCCGCGTAGAAGGAAAATGCAAGCATTGAGCCAGGAAATACATCCGTAACTCGAGATGTTCATTAAGCAGGTTGCCACGGGAGTGCTCCCAATTTTGCAACCTTTCTTGCGGTGATCCTTAGGTGGAGATTCTAGTTGTTAAATGAGTCTGTTTTTTCCCCAATGGGACTTTTCTGTGGGTAAATAGACAGAAATGCCCGAAACCAGGAAAAACTGGAGAGAATCAAGGTGCCATGACCACAGGATACTCAGCGAAGTAAACACCAACCTCGGTGGTGCAGTGGTTGGAGTGGTGTACTGCAGGGCGCTTCTGCTGACTGCCGGCTGCCTGCAATAAGATCTCCCCGGATAATAAGCCCAATTGGGCTTTTGACCACATGCGCTAAAATAAGCCCTCCACGCTCACCACCTCCTGCATCTCAAAAATAATAAGACCTCCCCGAAAAAATAAAGGCCAAGCGCTTATTTCAGGGGGGTCAAAAGATAATAAGACCCTGTATTATTTTCAGGGAAACACAGTAATAGATGCGCTATTCCTTGGATACTTGTCTGCAACATTGCAATGGAAGTAAAGGGTATCTTTGTGATGCCATTTTGATCAATGATTATGTCTAGTTCTGAACATTGCTTTGACGGGGTCTCATCCCATGCCCTTCCCAAAGAACATAAGCCGTTACCCACCATTCTTCCACATGAACACGTCCGCTTGGATATTTTTTGTGTACATAACAGCAGCAAGAACATCATGGAGGGTCGTGTTCTTAATGGCCGCAATCTCCTCAGCAGTGAATAACCTACGAAAGGGATGAACGGGACTCAGTGGGAACTTCAGTGCGTTAAACATCAATATAGGCTGTGGTTAGAAGGCCTGCTTAGAACTGGGAGGCTGATGTTCAAATCCTCATTCAAAGGGGCAGTCAGAACACAGGATGGGAATTCTTTAATTTCACAACATATACGGACATTTAGCCCTAGTTTCCATTGGGAAAAATTTGACCATCCAAGCCCAAGCCAAGTCCAAAAATGCCTGTTCTGACCTAGGCTTCCCCCAAAAGTACCTTAGGTATCCTTATGATTTATATTGATATCGATTGTCTCCTAATTGCTTATTTGTACCCTATGACTATCATTAAGAGTTGTACCTTATCATTCATGATGAATGTATCTTGTCTTTTATGCACACTGAGAGCCTATGCACCAAAGACAAATTCCTTGTGTGTCCAATCACACTTGGTCAATAAAGAATTCAATTCAATTCAATTCAATTCCTTATTCCATTCCATTCCATTCTATATTCTATTCCATTCCATTCCATTCTATAATCTATTCCATTCCATTCCATTCCATTCTATATTCTATTCCATTCTATTCCATTCTGTATTCTATTCTATTCTATATTCTATTCCATTCCATTCCATTCTATATTCTATTCCATTCTATTCCATTCTGTATTCTATTCTATTCTATATTCTATTCCATTCCATTCCATTCTATATTCTATTCCATTCTATTACATTCCGTATTCTATTCTATTCTATATTCTATTCCATTCCATTCCATTCTATATTCTATTCCATTCTATTACATTCCGTATTCTATATTCTATTCCATTCTATT